TTGTTAAAATGGGAGTTAAAAGTTGTCAACAAGAAATAGTCTTCTTGTTTTAAGCCTTTGTAGAGTTGGTTAGGTTGGTTATGTGCCGTGGAGTCGGTTCCGACTCATAGTGACCCTGTACAGGATTTCCGAGGCTATAAATCTTTATGGGAGCAGAAAGCCTCATCTTTCTCCCGCGGAGCAACTGGTAGTTTCGAACTGCTTATCTTGCGGTTCACAGCCCGATTCGTAACCACTACGTTACCAGGGCCTTAAATGCAATCCAGAGTCCTACCCAGAACCTTCAGTGTTGGGACGTTTGCATTTGAAAATATGTGTAGACCAACACAGAACTTCTGGGAGAACAGGAGATTCATGATGGAATAATTTTCCTCTTTTCCAGATGGGTCTGGTGAAAGGTGCTAAGCGATGATGCAGATGGGGTTTTATGATTCAATTGTAATTGTTAGCAGGATTAATTTTGATTGTAAGTCTGGGATTGGTAAATTTTGCCATCTAGCTAGGTTTAAAGGAGCCATCTCAGAAGCAGGAACAGATGATCCCAGCACCATCAAGAAGGAAGTAAGTGAGTGGAGTATGAGTTCCCTACCCAGGATAGCTTCAGGGTCAGAGGGGATGACATGGACAGCAAAGACCAACTGCGGGCTCTAGGCCCCCGTTCTGAGTAAGGCTGCGTGCCTATTGGCAGGAGGCTGGCTTGTAGAATGTACCCTTTGGACATTTAAATGAATATAATTTTTTTTTTTATATGTGTACATCAAAGTTTTTACTTAGTTAATTTGTGAAATATAAGATTTATATGGGGCATTTTTGGGGTCCTGGTGTGGTGCTGTGGGCTAATGCGTCACACTGCAAAGTTGTTTGAACTGCGAGGTCGGTGGTTCAAGCTCACCAGCTGCTCCTTGGAAACCCTATACAGGGTCACTATGGGTCGGAATCAACTCGACGGCACTTAACAACAACAACAGTGCATTTTTGGTTGTATGAATTTTAGTTATATCTTGTTAGGCATAAGTGTGACTTCACAATTTGCTTCATTTAGAGCTTATGTATATGGTTTATAGGTGTCAAGGTGACAAGGAATAGACTGTGATAGTTAAGATTTTGTGTCAGCTTGACAGGGCCAGGATTTCCAGTGGTTTGGCAGTTGAGATGTGGTTATCTCCATGGTGAAACCTAAAAGAGGCATACGTAACTCTATGATGATTGGCTATGAGCAGCCAATCAATTGAAAGACTATTTCCTTGGGGGTGTAGTCTGCTCCCAATATAATAGAAATTCAGGAAAATCTTGCTGTCTTTTGAGCTGAGACTTGGGACTCCTGTCTGTCTGTCTGCCTGCCTGGCCCAGCTGCAGATCTTGGCTCAACTGGCCCAACCTTAGAACTCTCCCACCTTTACAATTGTGAGCCATTTCCTTGACATAAACTTCTCTTTATATACATAGGTACATATATAAGTTTCAATGGTTTTGCTTCTCTAGAGAACCCAGCATAAGACATATTTCAAAAATACAACTGGAGTAGAAACACTCTTCTCCAAAGTAGGTGTGATACATTGTTGGTAAATAAATCATAAAAGGTCAGTTAAAGCAGGTGAATCATTATGTTAACTTATACACATATATTAACAACCTTTTTAATAGCTATTTTGAGTCTTCTTTGAGAATTTCCAAAGTACTTAATGTACTTTTCAATTTTACTCTCCAGTTTCATTTGTCTACATAATATTTGATTAAATCACATAACCATAATGAAATGATGTCAAACATACTTAGAAATAAATACAACTAAATACAACTAATTGTCTTCTCTTTTCTATTAGTGGAAACAGACATTCATGAGTGTACTCGAAAATAGGTAGCTTGCTATGTCTTCAGGATGCCAAAAGCAGCAAACATTACATTTCACAAGGGGAATAGAAGACACTGTTTAATATGGAAAATGGGTTATAGAAGTCAGTTGAATCAACTATAATAAAAAGCACTAGATTAGTTACCAGACATATTGTCAGGAGGGACCAGTCACTGGAGAAGGATATGATGTTTGGTAGGGTGGAGGGTCAGAGAAAAAGAGGAAGACCCCCAGCGAGATGGATTGGCAAAGTGGCAGCATCAATGGGCTCAAGCCTGGCAATAATTGTGAGGATGGCCTAGGATTGGGCAGTGTTTTGTTATGCTGTGCACAAGGTCACTATGACTAGGTACCGACTCGACGGCACCTAACAACAACAACAACCATTTGTAGCACAGTCTCTAAGAATCAATGCATCTCACTTGGCTCTGTAAGTATGTATTGGCTAGATAAATATATAAATGAATGTACAAAAAAATTTGTTCTTGTTGTCAGTATTGACTCATATGAACTCGACATTCAACAGAACTAAACACTTCCTGGTCCTGTGCCAACCTCATAATCATTGCTACATTTGAGCTGATTGTTGCTGCCACTATGTCAATCCATCTAGTTGGGGGTCTTCCTCTTTTTCTCTGACCTTCTGTCTTACCAAACATGATATCTTTCTCCAGTAACTGGTCCCTACTGACAATATTGTACAAAGTATGAAAGATGAAGTTGGGCCATCCTGTCTTCAAGGGAGCACTCTGGCTATATTTCTTCCAACACAGATTGATTTATTCTTTTGCCAGCCCATGGCACTTTTAATATTCTTCTCCAGCATCACAGTTCAAATGCATCAATTCATTTATGGTCTTCCTTAATCATGGTCCAACTTTCGCATGCATATGAGTTTATTGAAAATACAGTGGCTTGGGTCAGGTGAACCTTAGTCCTCAAACTGACACTTTTGCTCTTCAACACTTTGAAGAAGTCTTGTGCAGCAGAATTGCCTAATGAAATAAATTGCTTGATTTTTTGACTGCTGCTTCCATGAGTGTTGATGGTTGATCTGAGCATAATGAAGTCTTCGACAACTTCAATCTTCTTTCCATTTATATGGATGTTGTTTATTGGCCCAGTGGTGAGGATTTTTGTTTTCTTTAAGTTGAGGGACAACCCATATCAAACTTTGATCTTCTTCTATTTTAAGTCCTCTTCTCTTTCATCAAGCAAAGCTGTATCATCTGCATATCACAGGTTGTTAGTGAGTCTCCCTCCTATCCTGATGCCATGTGTATGCCAAGAAAAAAAGTACGTATGTTAAGGAAGATAAAAGAATAATTTGTGAGTGGAGAAACCTGACAAACACTACCTCAGGCAGGTGATCAAAGTCAATGTCAACATGGTGAGTCATGCTGATAGTATGTGCCTTTGATATGATGTGATGTGAATGGCACATTATTTCTGTGTTCTGCCTCCCCCAAAATTATAATCCCATTGTAATCATGAGAAAAATATAAAGCCTAAATATGATTAGTAATGATCAGTACTCCTGAAAACTTTCAGGATTATCACAAACATGGCAATTCAAAGAAACAGTGACAACCAAAAGATGTCTAAGAGGAAATGATAATGAAATTCAGTGTAATATCCTGGATGAGATCTTAGAACCAAAAGTCAGAAAAAAATCTGAGTCAAGTATGGATTTAGTATAAAATAATAAATCAATATTTGTTGTGGCAAATACACCATACTAATGTAAAACATTATAAGGGGGAAATCAGCGTAAGGTAGAACCTGCTGTGCTATCTTTCTACCTTTCTAGTAAATTTAAAATTATTCTAAACTGAATTTTAACTAAAGGATGATTTTTTTGTAGCTACAAACCCATGTCTACATCTTTCCAAAGGAAGAAATAAAATTAATTTTACTTATTTCCTCAGGCTCATCCTAGAAAATTTTTCTGCTTTTAGACTTTGTGGAGAAGAATGCTGCATTAGGACTGGAGGAAGACTCATTAGCAATCTGCAGATGACACAACCTTACTTGATGAAAGCAAAAAGGACCTGAAGCACTTACTGATGAAGATCAAAGACTAAAGACTTCAATAAATATAGATTACAACTCTGCATAAAGAACACACAAATTCTCTCAACTGGGCCAATAAGCAACATCATAATAAATGCAGAAAAGATTGAAGTTGCCAAGGATTTTATTTTCCTTATATCAATACCCATGAAAGCAGCAGTCAAAAAATCAAACGATGTATTGCATTAGGCAAATCTGCAACAAAAAAAATTCCTTTAAAGTGTTAAATAACAAAGATATAACTTTGAGAATTAAAGTATACTTGACCCAAGCCTTGGTATTTTTAGTTGCCTCATAAGCATATGAAAGATGAACAATGAATAAGAAATACCAAAGAGGCATTGATGCTTTTGAATTATGGTGTTGGTGAAGAATTTTATATGTGATAAATGTCCAGAAGAACAAATAAATCGTGTTGGAAGAATTATAGTCAGAATGCTCATTAGAATTACAGTCAGAATGCTCAAAGCAAGAATTTTTGAGATTTTGTCTCACATACTTTGGACATGTTATCAGGAGGAACCAATTCCTGGAGAAAGACATCATGCTTGGTAAGTAGAGGGTCATTGAAAAGAGAAAGGCCCTTAATAAGATTGGTAGACACAGTGGCTGCAACAATGGGCTCAAACATAGGACCAATTATGAGGATGACACAGGCCCATACAGTGTTTCATTCTGTTTCATATGGGGTTTCTACGAGTCAGAGCTGACTTGATGGTCCCTAACCACAGTCATTTTGGGCCTTTATCATTTCCTGAGTATTTGGACATACTGTTCTACCTGAAAACTCTCCTCCTCTTTTCACATACCTGACAACTTTTCTTCTGTCTAAAGTAATCCATAAGGCCTAGTTCAAATACTTAGCCACATATACCCAAAAACCATCCTAAAAAATCATAGTGACTTATAAATTTTTTCTGGATCTAGATAGGAATGGGCAGAAAAATATTCCTGATTCATAATACAGAGAGAAAGTGGGAAATTTCCCACTAACAAATAAATAAAAGGGAAGACCACAATCCTGGGCTTGACTGTCCACACTGAAGTCTCCCTCCACCTGCTTCTATAGGACAAGATGAAGCTCATCATACTAGATCACTGTTTGCAGGCCAGTGAGTGGGCAGCTAAATGCATCAAGAACTGCATCATCCAGTTTAATCCAAGGCCAGACAAATGCTTAACCATGGGTCTTCCCACTGGGAGCAACCCACTTGCCTGCTACAAGAAGCTTATTGAATAAAACAATAGGAACCTTTCTTTCAAATATCTGAAGACTTTAAATATGGATGATGAGTATGTGGTCCTTCCTCGAGACTACTCTGAGATCTATCATTCCTTCATGTGGAACAACTTCTTTAAGTACATTGGCATTGACCCAGGAAAACCCCACATTCTGAGTGGGAATGGAGCTGACCTGCAGGCTGAGTGTGACTCCTTTGAAGAGCAGAGCAAGGATGCTGGTGGGATTGAACTGTTTGTTGGAGGCATTGGCTCTAATGGACACATCTCTATCAATGAGCTGGGCTCCAGTCTGGTGTCTAGGATCCGTGTGAAGACACTGGCTATAGACACCATCCTGGCCAATGCTCAGTTCTTTCATGGAGATCTCGCCAAGGTGCCCACCATGGCGCTGATGGTGGGTGTTGGCACTAGCATGGAAACTAGAGAGGTAATGATCCTTATCACAGGTGTTCACAAAGCATTCACCTTCCAGCAGCATCCCCACACCATCATTGTTTGTGATGAGAAGCTACCCTGGAGCTGAAAGTAAACTGTCAATTATTTCAAAGGTTTAATGCTTGTTCATAGTAAGTTGATGGACCACTTATATAGTATGAAAGAGAAAAGCCAGCCTCCAAAGAAACCATGTAATGATTATGCTGTGTTGGAACGAAGGTCAAGTAAGGTCATTGGGTCATGCAAGTCTTTCTGGAAATTGTTTTTAGGAGAACAGAATTGTATGCATTTTGTTTAGTGTTGTTACTCCAAATCAGTGGGCAAACATATTGTTCTTGTGTATTACGTTTGGAGCCTATTATAGAGTTTAACTACAAGAATAATTTGATCAGAAAAAACATCTCTGAAAAATGTATTTTACCATCTTGATAATCCACCATATCTAGATGAAGGGTTTTTAACGTTCAGTTCTGCCTCCAACAGTGTTTACATGCACAACACACTCCTGTCAAGATCGTCTGTCATTACACATGCACTGTCTTTCCAATGGCAAGGAATTAGCACTTTTATATGTGGGAGCCCCTCATAAGCAGGCCTGCCCTCTTCATTGAGAATTGCTGTCCTAGATTAAGAAACTCTGCCTTCATCTAAATTCAGTATGAGGAAGCAGTCCCTATTCAGTAACAAGTATCATAGAAGAAAAATCTCTTATCTCCTCCCCTAACCCCGGGTCTTTTTTTCTGCTGCCATAGCTGACCTTTCTGTGACCTGGGAGGACTGGAATCCCTGGGGAGGATAAGGTGGAGAAGACCTTTGCTGATGAACCCAGATTCCCCAGTGGTCCCAGACATGTCAAAGTCCTTTCCATCATGGCACCTCTGGCACCAGGAGGAGAAGGTAGAAACCCTTTTCCCACTAGAGACATGCATTTTTTGCTAAAGGTCTCACTAAGGCGCTTGTCTTTTACTCTACACTAAGTAAAAGGTAGGAAGTCCCTAGGGCAACAGACACTGTCTCTATTTCACTGTCAGTGTTCAGTCAAGGTGACCAGGTAGTGTGGTCTGATGTTCTCAGAATATCAGAAAATAGGACCATTTTCTCCACGCAGACTCATCTTTTGAATACAAGCTGAAGAATATTGCTCTGCCTTCCCTTGACTCTCCTAAGTATCTGTGAAGCAGATGGTCTCTTCACAGTTTTGTACCTGCTTGAAGTTGCTTCCTCTACTTCTAGAAAGGCCTTGCAGAGACAGGCTCAGACCTCATTTAAGTGCTGTGTTTGGCACCAACGTTTCATCTTTAGCTTTAATATGTGATTGTGCTGTCATTCTGGTTTAATCTAATAGGTTAATAGACTTGTTTACAATGTGATATTTTCTATTAAGTCTAAAACTTTCAAAAATAAAAGCATTGTGTTAGGCAACATCTCTATCGGTTTGTTGTACAGTAGTGGCTTGCATATTACTATGATCCTGGAAGTTATGCCACTCATACATCAAATACCAGAAGGGTCACCTATGGTAGACATATTGCAACACAGCTTCCAGAGTATAAAAAAATACCTGATGAACTACTTCTGAAAATTGACCAGAGAAAACTATATGAATCACAACAGAATATTGTCTGATATTTAAGATGTTCTCCATATGTACGAAGACACTCAAAATACACAGTAGTCTCAACGATGCACTCAAACATACCAAGTATTGTAAAGATGATATAAGACCTTGAATATATCCCACTTGAATTTAGAGATCATCTGAAGAACAGATTTGATACATTAAATACTAAAGACCAAAGATGAGAAATATTGTGGGATGATATCAAGAACATCATATAGGAAGCAAAAAGTCATTAAGAAGACAAGGAAAAAGGAAAATGTCAAAAGAGATGTCAGAAGAGACACTGAAATTTGCTCTCCAGTGTAGAGATGTTAAAGCAAATGGAAAAAATGAGAAGGTACAAGAGCTGAACAGAAAATGTCAAAGATCAGCTTGAGATGATAAAACCAAATATTACAACATAATGTGCAAAGATCTGGAATCAGAAAACCAAAAA